ATGGCTGTGTGATAAGATCAGGAGCAGAGACAGAGGATTTCCTGCTTGTCGCCATAATGCAGCTCACCGCTTTACTAGACACACAGTCCTCACCTAACCCTCGGCTAACATTTTTACAGGTCCCTAGCTTATGTTTTTAAGGTTATCATCATGTTGGTTTTCTCCATACAGTACTGTTGATGAGACAGAGAATTTAGTGAGGGTGTCATTTGACAAATTCATAGTTAGACTTTTTTTCTGATTTCCATCAATATAGCAAACAGAAACTGATTTGGTTATACAATCAGATGTCTCTTCTCAAATTTTTGTTGATGCTTCAGACGTGAACGTTTGAAGTAAAAAATCTCTTTCCCATGACTCATTCTCCTTGCTGGTCCTAAAGCAAAGCTGGCGCAAAGCAGCAGCTCAGCAGTGTAATTCTATACAAGCTGGAAGCTGTGTCCACATTCAGCGAGGCTATAAATCTGTGCATTAGCATGTAAGTCGGTCAGCTGGTCAGACAGTCATGGCTCTTTCCTGCCTGAGGAGAAGACAGGCGCTCCACTAGGGAGCAGGCAGGCAGGACATGGGAAGGCGGGCAGACCCCCCAAGAGCCAGGAAATCCATGGAATTCTGCGGGTCAAACTGGGGTCAACTGGAGAAGCCCCACAGGGACAGACGGAGATAAAAACAGAGGTGGAGTGAGTCTAAAAAGAGGGTTGGTCATCTAAACAGTTGTACCTCTGCAAAGAGATACAGTGGCAAGCATTTAAAGTGGTCCTATGAATGATATTTTAATGCCAATACATAAAATAAATATGTACTGCACATTTTTTGATGTATTTATAGTTTAAAGTCAGTCAGTACCAACGACATGCAGCATTTGAGACAGAGACTTCCTGTCAGCTTCAGAGTCCAGATGTAAGTTTACATCAAGATGGAAAAAACGGTCTTATTTATAGAAATGTTCTTGATTTTTATCTTTAGTTTAGCCCTAAAAATATCCAGTGATATTTTTGAGTGTTGCGTCTCTGAGGTTTGTCTTTGATCCGCAGTAACCCCTGAAAGTGACCTTTGTTACAAAGCTAGTTTTCAACTTTTCTTTAATTGTATTTTAATTTTAAGCATGGAAGACTTCTCAGTGTGAAAACTAGTTAGTTCTTTGAAATTTAAACTCTCATCTTGCGTGTTGTCCCTTATTCTCACCAAAAAGCCATATGTTGTTTCCTGAGGCTTCAGGTTTCAAATATTTCTAGGTTCACGTCAGTGGTGGGAAATAACTAGCTGTATTACTTCAGTATCTATTCAGATGAGAAAACCCCAATTGATTTTCAATTTCGGTGAATACACTTTCTTTTAGTATATCTTAAATAGCAGATTCCAGAGGTGTATTTTTTAGAAGACAGAGGAACTGAAAACTGTATGTGATCAGTCTGTCTGTTGCAATTTGTCTAGCACTAAATGAATCCAAATTGATCAGGATTGCTGCGTCTCTAATGGATACTTGGTTATGGGACTGAATCTTTGAGTAAGTGATGGACTCAGAGCGATGGACTAGTACTGAAATGATTAATAGTTAAACTGATGAGTCAATGAACAGAAAATTAATTGCCATTCTCATAACTTTCATTTATTAAGTAAAACAGTTTCCATTGTTTTCAAATGTGAGTATTTACTGTTGGTCTCCTTATAATTGATTAATCATGGTGGGACAAAGCAAGACTAAATGTTACATGAATTGACACAAATGACGAATGAGTGAAAATAATTGTTGCAGCCCCAGATTGAATACATGATTCATCTGCATTTGCTTTTTAGTTCCCATTAATCCCAGAACAACGACTGATCAATCAAAAAAAAAAAATGGAAGGGCAGGACCTCAACCGAAAACATAGAAATCCAATACATAGTTCTCACTAAAACAGTCACTAACCAGCTGGGCTTTGTTTCTTTAACTTGATTCGTTCAGTTTTCATCTGCAGCTTAAAACAGATGTCATACTGGGACCCACTACTTTAACAGGAAGCTTACAAGTTTGTTATTTAGCTTGTAATACTTTTAGATTTAAGGATAGTGAGCTGAGCATAAATTAAACCTCATGTCACTGAGAATATAAAGTTTAAAATACTTTTGTACCCAGACAGTGTAATGAGGGCAATTATACTTTTATGTGCATAAGTACATCTGAGCATTTTCTCTGTACCAGTTTGTACTTCACTGAAGGTGAGCTTTCATGTTTCTGTAATCACTGACTGATTACTTTCAATGACAGGTAACTTACCTGTTACAGACTTAGTTTTTTAATTTCCAAAGATTAAACACAAAGCTCAGACTTATTTCCACAAAAAGGGTCAATATTTTTACAAGCCAGCGTGCTGTGGCAGTATAAATGTGTATGCAAGTGTGTCTGTGTGTATGCATGAATGCATGCGTGTGGTTGTAGGCCCATGATTTAAGGGGTGTTGTTGCAGTGATGTGCTTCTCATACAGTCTGGAGCTTGGCTAGGACTTGGCACTCTGGTAAAGAGTGTGTGAATGAGATTATAGGCCTCTGCCGTCCTGTTCTTTCATTCACAAATTAGCCGCCCCCAAAAACGTATTCATTATGAATTACACTGTGACAAGATAGATAAACTTCTGCAGGAGGGCTCGTGCTGTATTTGCCCTGAAGAATGTGTGTTTTCCACTGCCCGTGAAAAATTAGTAGACTGACAGAAATAAAAGAACGATGCTTTATGTATTTTTCAAATGTACAGGGGGGTGGACAATCGACATAATAGTTCACTAGCTCTGAAACAAATGTACTATTTTTGTTGATGCTGTGTTGATTTTAGGATGTAGTTTTTTGAGCTATGGCTTTGAATTAAGTGCAAAATTTCCATCTGTATCTTTCTCATTTTTAAGCAAGAATTTTGGTTCGCCCTAGTCGCCTAATAGCTAAAATGCATACCATACAGCCACTATGTCCCTGTTTGATTTCAGGAAATAAAGACAAAAATGCCAAATATACTATACATATAACATACTGTGTGTGTGTGTGTGTGTGTATATATATATATATATATATATATTATATTATATATATATATATATATATATATATATATAAACTTAACATGGATATTTACATTGGTTGTTAGTGTTAGTGTTCAGTTTAAAAATGACTAATTTAAATATGGTTTCTTGACATGACAAAAATAACTTTAGATTCTTAAACCATGAGCGTAACTGAAAATGCGTTGAGTTTTATGTCCAGTCCTGTATGTACATCCTGCTGTTTGTGCCTTCTTATCCGTGGACATGATTGTGTAAATATTCCTGGAATGAGAGAGTTGAAAGGAAGGAACACAAACGCCTCTTGTCTTTGTTTTACTTTGAGCAGGTCGTGTCCACATCTTTTACCAAACATGAGCAAACACATGCAAACTTTCCAGGTAGAGGAAGAGAGCGTTATCCCTAGAGGAATGAGTCTGTTGTTGTTGTTGAAGCGGCTGCCATGCTGCTGGCAAAATAGAGGTCAGAGGGGCTGTCTTAGAGGGGTTGCATGCCTTATGGATGGCGTCTAATTAGCGGGATTGGTTGATGTTGCTGGTGGTCCTGGTGTGACTGTGTCTTCCTGCTGGGCTTTTCCTAAACACCAGCAGTCTGATCAGTGACCCTGTCCTCCCTCCTGAAATTAACCCATTGTCCTCCTGTCGCCTCCGTCCAGTCTGTCTCTCAAGCGAGACACTCCCGCCTCACAGGACCCTGCTGAGCTCCGCCAGAAAGCATATTTGTCCTCATTCCTTCATACGCAACATTTGGTTGTTAAATGGATGTGATTAAATTCATCTTCTCACGGCAAACAGACACAACATTTGCCGGGTCTGGCGAGCATGGTGTGTATTGAAGTGCTGCTATTTATTGCCTCAGTCTTATTTGGAAAACTGCCAGTAGATCTATTCCTGGAGAGAGTGGTCTTTTTTTTTATTATTTCTTGAGTTCTTGACAGCCAAAGTGATAATGAAACCACATTTATTCCAATGAAATATATTCATCTACATGGTTACACAATCTTTTGTTTGATTTCTCCAAGGAGAGCCAGAATCCCATAGTGAGATGAGATAAGATGATGCACTGGTTGTTTCGCAACAGCCTTTCATGTTCCTAGTGGTGAGTCATTGACTAGGTGAATGCCGTCGTTTGCGACTAGTATTCACTCATAGACTGAACAAAAGAACCCAAAATAAGAAATGAGGAGGAGGTTTAGCGGTGGTTGAAGTAGACATCAGGTCATCACACGTGGTCACAACATGAACATGTTACTGTGTATCGTCATATAGTAATCATCTCCTGGTGTGCTGTTGTTATTCATCTCTTTGAACTCCCCTTTGTTTTGATAAACAGACTTTGCATGTAATGTGGACTGAACTGAACTCTGTTCCTCGGGATCTTGTTAACTGTTAACTGTGGACACTGTTTGTGAGGGAAATGTCAGATTACAGTATTGAACTCGAAAAGAGAAAGGAAAGTGAAAAACGCAAGCTTGAACCGAGGAGAGCGATCTTATATCAATAGTATGACCTGCTTTTATCAGTGGAAGCAGAATCAGAGAAAGAAATGTACGAATTGTCAATATCTAGTCTGTTATTTAATTCTGCATCGTCAGACTTACTAAATGTTGGTCTGAGATCTTTAAATCTTGGGTTTTGATACACACCACAAGATTTCTTTGTGGTTCCAAAAGTAAAAAAGATGTTACCCAACATGGAGAAAACATAAGAGGCCCCTTTCCCCTATATGGAGCAGGCAGCCAAGAGGCCCCATATTCTCCTCAGAAAGCAGTATTGGTGAGCGTTGACATGAGGGCTGTATGATATCACTTTTCTCAGCTCCCACATAATCATGTGTCTCATGCAGGATTGCTTTCCATCTCCAAACATCTCACACTAAAAGAATTCCTTTGAGTTTTTCACACTTTGAATTAAAACTAACAGCATTGTACTTGTCCTTTATTTACTGATGTTTTTTTCTTATGGCAGCAGGCCTATGTGTCCTCCGGCCACCAGATGGCGCCCCCCAGTCCCAACACCAACAGCAGCAGCAACAGCAGCAGCGGGGGAGGGGAACAGCTGAGTAAAACGAACCTGTATATCCGCGGCCTCCATCCGGGAACCACGGACCAAGACCTGGTCAAACTCTGCCAACCGTGAGTGATTTCGAAACTGAAATGAATATTTCTTTTTGGAAGCAGCACAGCAAGGAGAAATTGGAAGTCCCAATTTTAAAGGAATATCCTGTCAATTTGTGGAATACGCTTTTTTCCATTCTTGCAGAGATTTATGTGAGAAGATTGATACCACTCTTATGTCTGTATATTGTTAGGAAACTACAGCAGCAGGTTAGCTTAGCTTAGCACAAAGACACGGAGGAAAACAGCTAGCCTGACTTTGTCCAAAGTTCAAAAATACAACTCCAAATAATTTGTGGTTTTATGGGGAGTTATGTGCCGTAACTGTTTCTTGGTGAACAACAGCTGGGAACAGTGACTTCCCAGAGTCTTGCTGAGGTGTCTGTCAACAAGTAGAGATGCTAGACAGACGGATGAACTGTTGTTTCATCATGAAAGAATCACATTACGTAACTCTTTCTTAAACCACAAATAGTTGTTTTTGCATTTCTGTTTGTGTGTGGATACATATGGCTACAACATGTTAATTAACAAATTTAGAAGTGTGAGAGAGCCAGGCTAGCTGTTTCCCCCTGGGTGCAGTCTTTATGCTAAGCTAGGCTAATGTTGGCTCCGGCTGGATAGGAGGGGTAGTGAATGAGTAAATGTCCCAAAATGTTGACCTATTTCTACCTCATGGAGATACATGTAAGCCTCAATTACAGACACCAAATGATCAAGCAACAACATTTTACTAATGTGTAAGCTATGCAGGTACCCAGGCCAAAGATAAAATGTCACTTAGATGAAAAAAAGGATTAGGCAAGGCTTGTCCTAGGGCTGAAGTATTTGATCTCTCGATGATAAATGTAAAGTTGTATCAGGTTTGGCAGTGGTTTCTGGTACAGTGTATGGTCTTTTAATGTGAACAGTCAAAGTAATTTGTTTGTTTCAGCCTTTTCCAACTTTATTGCACATTCAGAGTTGATTGGCTCAAAAAGGCCTGTTAGTATTTATCCCTTCATGTTGAATCAGACTACAGTCTGACTGTAGCTGGCTGTACATTCCAGTCCACGTTAACTGGAACAAGTTTGCTTTAGCTATTTATCTTTGATGCTAAATTGGAGAAAGAGTCATGTTGAAAGTAACTTCTCGTGAGCAGATAACATCTGTGCTCTCTGGAGCGTTGCTCTTCATCTGTTGGACACATGAAATTAAATTGTTTAAGGCCATAATTTGATGTTCAGAAAAAGGAGCTGTTTAGGCAGGAAGGAAGGAAAAGTGGTTTGTGAATAGGAATGCTGAATTACCACAACTATTGTCACTTTGATTAAATCTTGTCAATTATAGGAACACAATAAAATTGTCAGCAAAATGGTATAGCCTTAGAGGGAAATAGAGGAACGAGAGGATGGCTACAGAGAGTCAGGAAAAAGATGATACAGGGGTAAAGAAGGAGAGAAGGGGCCAGAGAAGGGTACAGTATGTTGCCTCCTCATGTCCTGATCTAACCTTCCACTTTTTGTGAGACTGAACTGGCTCAAAGACAGGGAACTAAGACTTACATACCCCTAGATAAATAGCCTAGCCTCAACAGTATGTTGAACTTTCAAATGCACACACACACTCACACTCACAGATGAAACCCGGTAATAAAGAACCCAAACTGGTTTTGGCTGCTGCAGGTCAGGGCTACGCTGTATCTCACAGAAGTGAATTGTGTACATTAGCCATGCATCTGTAATTTCCACGGATCATTCACAGTAACAACACATCTCCCTGAACAACCATTGGCCATAACTAATATAAACTGACTTGTTCACACTGTGACCAACACTACAGCTGCTCCTTCTTTAACTTTTGTGTTCGATGCTCCATTCGAACCGTTCTGACCAGACATGAGGAAACCTCGCAAACACCAAATCCACAAAGCAAATATACAGTACACGGCTCACAACCGATAATCATGTTGGAGAGTAGGTGCACACACTCGACCAATCAAAGAAAGTCTGAAATCTGCGGTTGGTTTGTGAAACACAGGGACCTGAGTTTAAAAGCGGGAGACTAACAGAGAAGTCATTGTGGAGTGGTAGAGGAGTGGAGAGAGGTCGGAGGCTTTAGGGGTGGGCGGGAGGGCTACCCTTGAAGGGGAAACTTAAATGAGTGGGAAAAGAGTAGCATGGCCTGCTGGGAAAGAATGTCAGACAGCCGTATATGGGTCAGATCTGTCTTTTAAATCCCTTTGGCCTCCACAGAGTGGTGGGCTGCTGTTCTGCTGCAGAGCAGCTGAGGTAAGCCGAGGGTCACACAGTCACTGCCTTCAGACCTTTGAACTCTCCTGGAGTCCCTGTTAGGAAAAACATGAAAACATGAAACGCAGCTTTTGTTTTTCTTTGTCATGCTTCTGATGAAAACTCCCACTGGTCAATAGTACTGAAGTGTTTTTCAGGCTGGACGTATGAGCTTGAAACCAGGAAAATGTTCATGAGAGTGAGTTACTGCTATCATCAGAATAATAATCATAGGAAAGGCCCTTCATTTCATTTATGGCCCTTCATTTAGTTTATGGTGATATAAACAAGGGTTTTATTATTATGTCATGCATACAACTTTTCCCAGCCTGCGTGGACAAGACGCCACCAGTTCATTCAAGCCAGATCCTGAATTCTGCGTATGCATTTTCAAACAATATCCCCAAAAAAAACCAAAAATAAAGACAACCAATTTGAATTTTTTTCTTTCATCTCTACAACAAAATTAAACAAATTACTGACAAAAACATTTACTTTGAAAAATCAGAATACATACTAATTATTTCAGCCATCTTTTTCCAGGTGTGAAAAAGCTTAAACACATGAAAATGTAATTATAATGTTTGTTCAGCTGTTCACCAGAATAATTCAGTACTGTACATATTTAAATTATTGTAGTATTTACAGCACTTCCATTTCTCTAAAATCAAACAGCTTGCACAATCTGTTTTCCAAGTAATTATCAAACCATTTGTACTGATTGGATTTAAGATTTGCACACACAGCATATACTGTATGTGTATATGTCTTGGATTGTGAACTTGTACTGAGCTTGTAGATACCAAACATTAGTCTGTGCTTCATGTAGTTTTTTTTTTTTTGATGATGATGATCAGACATTTTCTTATCAGACTAAATTTAGTCACAGGCCATGAATGGACAATGGTCTCAAAACAGGAAGGAAATGGCTTAAATTTAGCATCAGTGGGCCGTGTGTGTGAGTGTGTTAAAATATTGCGTTCTGAGGTTTGATATTAGTGAAAAGAGATTGCTGCTGCTATCGAACGAAAACCAGTCTGTTGCACTTAATTTATTCCTAATATTAGTGAAGATGAACTTGTGTTTATTTATCCATTTGAACATCACATATTGCGCCATAACTTTTGTATAGTCTCTTGAGCAAAAGTACACAGTAAATTTTGTACGTGTGATTGAGTCTGAAAATGTTTCTCTACTTGTGGCCAAGATAAGGCTCAAGGAAGTATAACCTTTCAGTTGGGCTTGAATGGGTTAAATTATATGAAGCTGGTGTATACATTCATGCCTAATGACCGCTTTGCAGCTGTTGGATGACAGTGGGAAACTATAAACATATCCTCTGCATAGGTCACAATGGATGATGAATTATTAATGTCTTCAGTGATTAGGTTTCATTTACAGTGTATCTATTCTTCATGCCAAAATTCACAATAATCAAGGACAGTGAGTCCCGAACAGACATTCTAGCTGTGTAAAATGAGATGAATGTGATTAACACACCTATCTAATTACGGCCTATTGCGGTAGCTGAAGTGAGGACATAAACCTTGTTCATGTGTGGATTTGCAATTTTTTTTTTTTTTGTTTCGTAGAAAGACGCATGTTCTAGATGTGTATGTACGTACTAGAAACTTAAGAGGAGCCAAGGCCATGACATTTTATCATAAATACTTTAGACTCTGGCGTCAGTTGTGACACAAGTCTCTGCTGTGACCGTCTAGTCAGGTCTGAGTCATCTGGGCAAATGTCCACTGAGACGAGGCAGGAGTGTAGGACCCAGCGGTGCGCTGCGATGGGAGGGTGGAAAAACAGAGAGAGGGAGAGGGACGTGGTGGGAAGGAAGGCGAACCGGAGGGGTGAAGCATCAGGTTACAGTGTACATTCCGCCCAGACGCCATGTCGTCCAAACAGAAGAACACCAGCCTCCCCTCACTGGCTAAATTCACCAGACAAGGACAGGTCTATTATACTGTAGTGCTGATGCACCGTCTTATAACACTGTGTTCCATTACTCTCCACATCTTACATAACACTTTTCATTAACTGCTTTTAAGGTGATTTTCATACCGTGAATGTTTTATGATGCTGCATTAACACATTAATTGATGCTCCTCTTTTACTGATTGGCCTATGTCATGTATTGCTATTGACAGCTATGGACTGAAATAAGAGATTAGGACACTGGCTTATGTTCCCCGTACCATATGACTTCTTGTACCAAGCATACAGTCAGTTTCCTTGAAAGTCAATAGACACTGCTACTGACAATACTTTCAAGCTTTATTTGAGCCAAAAATATCAGAGAGCAGAGCTCTATCTAGGAGAGAGGTGTGCGTTTGTGTTTTAGTCTGTGTGTGTGTGTGTGTGTGTGTGTGTGTGTGTGTGTGTGTGTGTGTGTGTGTGTGTGTGTGTTGTGTGTGTGTGTGTGTGTGTGTGTGTGTGTGTGTGTGTGTGCTAAAGACAGGCCTGGAACAAATTGTTTTTGGCCCTGAGGTGCTGTCTCCTGTCTGCCGAAAACAACGCCAGGGAACAGAGTTACTGTACAAACGGCAGACAAAGACAGAAGGGTGGAGACACGACAAAGTTTTCTATGACAGATCACATTGAAAAGACATTAATTGCGCAAAGGAGTATGTATTCATGTGTACACCTGTAGTCATGCAGCCTGAGGATGTGTGGCAGGATTGGTATGCATGTAGTAGGAGCAGATTCCTCTCTTTACCCCTCGGTCCCCTCATCTGTCATTGATCCTGTTTTCTGTATTCTTGTGTGTCGTTGAAGGTACGGCAAGATTGTTTCGACCAAGGCCATCTTGGATAAAACCACCAACAAATGTAAAGGTGAGTTGTATCACATGAACCCTGAGAGTATAAATTATGATATTTCATGACTGTTGCCATCACTTTTGTTGTGGGTTTTGGCTGTTTGGTTATTTAAGGAAGAGTTTGATACTATGGGAAACACCTTCATTTGCCTTCTTGCTCATTTATTTCTGTATTCTAAATCTGCAGCTACAGCCAGGAGACAGTTCGCTCAGCTCGGCCAAATAAACTACTCTGTCCAAAGGTTCAAACAAATCTGCCTACCAGCCCCTCTAAAGATCACTAATTAACATGTCATATATGTTTTTTATTTTATTTACAGAAACCTAGGGGCAGAGTCGGGCGAGCTGTTTCCCCCTGCATGGCCTGGCTTTAGCTGTAGATTTATTGACAGATATAAGAGTGGCGAGGATCATCCCGTCTAACTCTCAGCAAGACAGCGAAAGGGTTTACTTCACAAAAAAATGTCACAGCAGCTTTAACCCTAACCTTAACCCTAAATGTGTCTGTTTAACAGGGTATGGCTTTGTGGACTTTGACAGTCCAGCAGCGGCACAGAAAGCTGTTACAGCTCTGAAGTCCAGCGGGGTCCAGGCTCAGATGGCCAAAGTAAGAATTACCAAACTCCTCATCAGCTTTGTTATACAACTACCACCGCGTTTTACGCCCCAAATTTTCTGGTCACCGTGGGGTTAATGATCTGGTCTTGTCTGGCCCTTCCTCTAAAATGTATTGATCTCTTAAGAGCCTCCTGTTCAACTTTGATCCTCAAGAGTCGTTGTCCCTTTCTGCACAAGCACACCCTCGTCCTCTCTATCATGTAAAAGATAAACTGTTACATGCTGTGGCCTGATTGCCAGTGAGTGTCCTGTTGGCAAGGGTACAAGATAAACTCTGGTTTATAGGGAGGCGTGTGTTCTGTTATACTTCATTGGGTGAACCTGTGCCAATAATGGACAGTTGTATGAAGGATAAAATCAGGCTTGATGCAGACTGGACTTGTTATAAGCAGAAATAATCAATCCTCTCTGCCTATCTTTTCATTCTCATTTCGTCTCCTCTTTCTTCATCGCCCTCCTCGCTACTGTCTCTCTCCTCTCCCCTCACGCTCTCGTCTCCATGCTTGTGTACGTTGCTAACGTGCTCCTGTTGTAGCACTTGTTCTGAGCTCTTTGTCCAAGTGTCTGCAGTCAAAAAAGCAACTCTTGTCGGCCCATTAAGCTGATCCCTCTGGCTCTCAGGCTCCCCATTGAGGGAACCCAGGGGAGGGTGCCACTACACCCACTATCAATGGGACATGCACAATAGGCTGGCATTGTCCATCGTCTGGGCACAGGCCTGGGGCTGACACCAGCACTTAATACACTCCACCCCAATGTCCCTGCCCCCTCCGTCTGTCCTGCACCCAAACAGACCCACTGCAATGTAACACCGGGGTCTCCCTGAGCCCAGCCCAGGGAAACTGTAACAGATCCACACTGCCAGCTGACCTGAACCAGTCCAGTGCAACTAAACCCTGAGTCTAAGTTCACTGCACCTCCTCTGTAAGAGTGCCACTCAATCCTGTGTATTTCAATACCCGACAAGTGCAACTGGACACCAAAACTTGGGCTCACCCAGAGGTGTTGATAACCACTATATAAACCTAAATATACACAGCTGCCTCCGAGTCACTGGGTTACTTCAGGTCAGAGTAAACAGGTAATGGTCTGAGATCAGATTAGTGTCAAACTCTAGAGTGCAGCCTCACCTGTTTGCACCCTCACCATGGCTGCTGCAGCGTGTTGTTCACAAACACAATGAGCCACACCTTGCACTGTCTGTCCTCAAGAGTACGCTCGGTCCCTGAACAGGCCACCCCAGCCTCCGAGCTGTGGGCCCAGGGGAGCCGTGTGTGCAGGGCCAGGGAAACAATGGCAGAGTTATAAATAGAACCCTCCTTACTCAGACTCAGACGTCAGCTCCACATACAAGCAAGCAAGTACCCACAAACACACCTCAACACACCTCAACACACAGGGCTCACCAAGGGCCTGGCACAAAAGAATGCACTGAACACACAACAGCATTTTCATACGTACAACAGGCTGAATGTTTGCGAAATGGGATATTGTGTGTACTAGCTGAGGTAAAGCGTGGCTATATAAGAGAAACGCGAGGGAGTTTTTGTTCCATTGTAATAAAGCCTTGAACTTGAACTATCAGTCTTGTTTCATGACCTCCTGCTGTGTTGCCACTGTGTTACGTAATGTTCGTATTGCCGCACCCAGAATGACGACAGTCACAGAAAATAGGTTATCGCGTTGCCAGGTGGCTCATAGCTGAGAACTGATACTGGTACTCATATAGGCAATAAATCCTCGTTTAAGGTAGCTGGTGACAGACTTTAATACCATAAATACTTTATTAAATTCTTCATTGTCAGATCAACACCTGTGTCAAACTTGGCGGGGCTCATGTGCCTATACCTGTTTGACGCTTGGATCAGTCTCATTCATATGATTAGGACTTGAACTGTTCCACTTGCATCTGAGCATCAGTTTCTTTCATGCACGACTGAAAATCTTTATTATTTGTGGTTTGCAGAGCTGTGAGACTGCAGGAAGTGTTAGGTAAAAGAAGGGAGAGGATGGAAAATGAGGAGAAAAGAGAAGAGCCTCTTAATCAGTAGACACTCATCTGTCCTCTTTTCCTCTTTTCCTCTTTCCATCCCCCTCTTTCATTACCCAAATTACTCAAGACTCCCACCACTTCCTATCCTGTCACTTCCCCCCTTCTGTACAAAATATCCGCTTTTTAAGCTACTCGTTTCTCCCACCCTCCCTCTGCTCTATCCTCTTCCTTCACTCTCTGTTTTCCCTTCCCCTCTTTTTTAGCCCAGCCTCTTTTTTCCTGGTTGCCAGGCTCCTGTTGCTCTGTGAACTCTTTAACTTCATGCCTGGCTTCCTGTCTGCTTCTGCACAGTCACACAAAGTTTCACTTTCAAGCTAGTGCCATGAAATCAAGTCTTAATAATCTCCCCTCTTCATATTACTTGCAGCTATGGAGATCTCTTAATTGCACCATTCCACCAAAGTGCGTGACTTCATCCTCGCAGACAAATTCATATTTGCATGTGCCAGTATGTTTAAGTGTGCATGTGGATTTTAAAGAACCAGACAGGTTGAGCTGAGGCCGTGACACATGGACAGGAATGGGCGACAAATTATTCACGGTTTGAGTTTATGGTTCAGGCACTAATTGCTTGAAAACATTTTATCCATATCAGCTCCTATTACAAAATGATGTTTGACGTGGTGTATGAATATGATGAAGCATTAATGTGTTAAGAGTGATAGCAAGTGTGGATGGAAAGACAGCTCACACTGCTGCCTACACAGAAATTTTCTGCTGTGTGAAAAAGATTTCTGAAAGTGACAAGAAATTTTCCATTAGCGAATGCAAATGCAATAGCAAAGATGTTTGAAAGTGTCACGCTAAAATAAATGTTACATTGAATATGAAGCACTCTTGGCTCATATCCTCCAGTGAGATTGCAATAAGACAAAAAGTACCAATATTGCATCTCTTCATTTATGGGAAAAAAAAAAAAAAAGAAGAGGTTCTGTTTGTAAATGTTCTTCTATTTAAACTTCTGGTACAGCAACAGGAGCAGGACCCCACCAACCTCTACATATCCAACCTGCCAGTGTCCATGGATGAGCAAGAGCTGGAGAGCATGCTCAAGTCCTTTGGCCAGGTCATTTCCACACGTATCCTGAGAGATGCCAACGGGACCAGCCGTGGTGTGGGATTTGCCAGGTCAGTCTAAAGCGGCCTGGTATAATATTCAACTCCAAGGTGGCCCATAATGATTTGAGTACAGTTTGTGCTTTAAAGAAAATGTAGCCTTGAGTGCAGTCCTGACTTATCCAAACCTAATGTAAACAACACTCCACAAGAAGGATTAGATTTGACTTTGATTTGTATTTCAGAATGGAGTCTACAGAGAAGTGCGAGGCCATAATTCAGCATTTCAACGGGAAATTCATAAAGACTCCACCAGGAGTGCCTGGTGCGTGGAATGTTTGTTTTGTATTGTAGGAACCTGATATTGTTGTTGTTAGTGCCAGAGCGCAGTGTTTTTGTTCCCCACGGTGATCACTGAATTCACTCTCTTCTTTGATCCGTTGCTTTCACAGTGCCCACAGAGCCCTTATTATGTAAGTTTGCCGACGGAGGTCAGAAGAAGAGGCAGAACCAGGGGAAGTACCTCCAGAATGGAAGGCCCTGGGCTAGAGACGGAGACACGGTAACATGGACTATTTTAACTCATGACTCTTAAAGTTGGCTTCCTGTATTTACAAGTGAACGTCTCTTGTTGGAAATAAAAGCGAGAACATGTGTAAAAGTTTGATCATTATCTGTGTGTGTTAGTTCACTGTATTAGTAGAGTGCTGCACTGGGGTTTGCATGACCTCACTGGTTCTGAATCCTGTGTATTGTTTTCACAGGGAGGAATGACGCTTGCGTATGACCCCACAGCCTTACAAAATGGGTGAGTGGTATGCGCGGACTGACTGAAAACAGTCCCAACCCTACAGGAAAAAAAATAAGTGCAGTACTCCCAACTGCTGTAAAGTGCCGCCCTCTGCTGGGCATCAGAGGAACACAGAAATGTTGTCAATGTAGTCGGGGAGACATACTGGAGATTGCTGGCATGGTGCGGCTGTCCTCATGCTCTCCTCACATTTTACTCTCTCTGTTTGGCAGCTTCTACTCCTCACCCTACAGTCTGGCTCCAAACCGAATGATCGCCCAGACTTCCCTCTCACCCTACATGCATTCTCCTGTCTCTTCCTACCAGGTGGGACATTTCTCTGTATTCATAATTCAATTTTTCTTTTTTTCTTTTTTTCTTTTTTTTTTTTTTAAGCTTTTAAGCTGCCCGAATGCCAATTTTTTTCTGCTGCTTTTATAGTGCAGATTTATTGAGTCTACATAAGTTAACGGACACTCACGAAGGACCTCAGTCTGCAGCAATAATAGTATTTATCCAGGTTTCTTCTTCTTTTTCTGAACCCCGTCTGAAAACTTGCATGGGGGTTCTGAGTGAGCTGTGGGAGCAACAGATCCAATATGAGAGCGAGTTTCATTTTGTGTTTCCCGATCTGCAGGTACACAGCCCGTCCTGGATGCACCATCAGTCATACCTCATGCAGCCAGCTGTGAGTATCACTCACTCACTATCACTGCGCCTCTTCATTTTTCGATTTTTGGCTTTACCTGTGTGTGTGTGTGTTTGACTCACATGTGACTGATTTAAGCACATTAGTGATTATAGGAATAGTATCATATATCATTCATATTTGTGCATGTTTCTCTACGTTCACAGGGTACAGTTCTTACCCCAACAATGGATCACGCTATGTCCATCCAGCCCACGTCCATGATGGGTCCTCTTACCCAGCAGCTAAGCCACCTGTCCCTGGGCAGCACGGGCACAGTCAGTACCAGTCTCACACACACACACACACACACACACACACTGCACACACTGCACACACGCACAGACACAATGTGTACAGCAGAGACTTGTCCCCATAGCTGACTGTCTTTAAGTTTAGATATTCATGTTGAATACTACACACAATTTGTGTTTTCCTCTCTGCCTTCCCTACAGTATATTCCGGCCAACACAACTATGCAGGGGACCTACATCCCCCAGTACACCCCAGTGCCTCCCTCCAGTGTCCCAGTAGAGGTATGAAGCTAGCCTCAACCTCAGCTGCTAACATTTGAACCTTCATCTTTCAATTAAGTGGATGACCATTGATTATAATTCTTACAGGGACGTATTTACTAAAAAAGAAAACTGAAAAAGCTGCTGCTCTCAGTGCTCTAGATCTCAGTTATGTGTATTTTAAGGAGTGGCAGAGTTAAGGCACAAATGTAGAGGAGTTGACTATTCAACCTCTAGTTACTGAGGTGAACAGAGTGACCTGAGGGTTTGTGTGGTATTTTATAACAGGTGGAAGAATGCATCCTATTCCTTCATATCACTGAAATTCCACCAAGATGTTCAGTATTTCGCTTTTAAAAAGTTAGTTAATAGGGCCTTGAATAAAATGTTTAAAACCTGTGGCATCAACCTCATGAGATTTCGTGCTTTAGAAGATTATTATTATAAATTAATGAAATTATTCTTACTGGCACAGTTAAGCCGTGATAAGCCAACAAAGATTAGGGTCATATTAGCAGTCACTTTAGAGTTAGATTATCTTCTCATAGAATTAGAAAACATTTGAATAATGCTGTTTAAGTATATATATTTTTATATTCTGCCATGTATAAAGTTTTTCACTGCTTTTTCCCTGTGCTTTAGCACCCGGTGATATGCAGAATTAAATTGTGTAAAGAATACATTTGTCCTCCTTTAGTAATTAATGATAATTCTTCATTAATTAATGTATTAATATATATTATTTATACTGTATGTTTCCCATGTAATGTTCCTTTTTTGATATAGCACAGTGTGATGTCCTAACACGTAGTATGGGTCTGTATAAGATCCTTCATTATTCAGGTGAAGAAGCCTTTGCCTCTCATGAAGGAGATGGAGAATTATTTGATTTGAAACTTTTGGCACAGACTCCACAGTGCGTGTGCTCCAGCACTGCAGCAGATCCGGGCTGAGTGCTCTGCAGGAGGATGTCTGAACCTCTCTGTGCTAGGCAGCCTGTGGGATGAGCAACACAGTGAATGAGAAAAAGGACAGGTTTATGAATGGGTAGAGGCGAAGTAGTAAGCCAGGAACTCAGGCTGTGATTGAATGGATGAGGCTGGAGTAGAGAGAAGGGTGTGAAGGTAGAATTGGGTTAGTGTCATTGATAAACTTAAGCCACTCCTTGAATTAGGTAAAAAATTGCACATGTTAAAGGTCCCTCTTAGTAAATACGTCCTGTAGTACGCACTGGCTTGAGTTTAAGTGAACATACTACGCCTGTAAAATTGCATTCTTTGGTTCATCCACACGAAAGCATTGATGTCTTAAATTTGAATGGGGAGGGCAGTGGGAAAATACAGGCTGTTCATTTCTTCATTGCATCTTTAATAACATCTGTTTAGCTGACACATGGGCATGAATTACCAAATTTCTTAACCTCTTGTCTTTTTCAGGAAAATGGCGGTCAGCAGCAACAGGTTGCCATGGAGACTCCTGCAGAGCACACAAACTACTCGTACCAACACACCAAGTGAAGCTAAGGTAGGGCAGTGACATATGTCATGTTACTGTAGTAGCATACAGTAATGTAGGAGGATGTTTTTAAAATGCATGTTGTGTTTCAGACTCTGCTGGTCTACACTTTCTAGTCTGACTGGCTCTTTTCAATTTAAAGTCAAAAAGATACTTTGAGAGATGCATCATTTGTTTATGTGTTGTGCAGTCCTGTGCTGAGCTCAGACAGATGAGGCCTACACTGTTCGCTTCAAAGCAGTTTTACTGTAAGATAATCAAATTGGGGGGAAAATGAAAAACAGGAATCCTTAAAGCTGCACTAATAGTTTTATTTATTTTTTTATTAAAGCAGTAGATCAAATGACTAAGTGTAATTTGAAGTTGGTGGCTTGTAGTGACGGACCCACAGAAAACGAATTGCTTTTACAGAGCCTTTTACTGTCCTTTTAATGAAAAAGCTCTGATAAACCCACTGTATGCGCTACCAGCCCACCACCGCTGTTGCTGCAGGTCTGCAGGATGTGTACATCGTCAACTGTTTGCTAATACATACACCACAAGACAATACACCGGCAGAGAGCAGGTCTAGTGAAAAAGCCCCTTTATTTGCTAGTGAGGGATAATTGTTCAGTCAAGACATTATTCCTGCTAAGAAGCTCTTGAAATCTGTTTCTCATATTTAATTGCAAGCTCCTATTTGTATGAAGTTTTTTGTAAGAAACACAGACCATTTAGCAATTTTGCAATTTGACAGTTGACATTTGTTACACTGTGTAAAGTGGTTACTAGTAGTAGTAATAGTAGTTTAAGGCATATTGGTAACTGTTGTCAGAATACATCGGACACAAAGTTTTCTAAACTGCGAGCTCCGTGTTTTGAGCAGGGTCAGTGCACCAACACTGTGTTGTGTGTTTTCCAGCTCCCAGCAGGGTGGGGCTGAGGGCACGAAATGAATCCAACCAAACAGGATTCAGCTGGAAGAGATCTGTGCTCCATACCATCACCAAGCACCCGGACTTGAACATGGATAACAAAAGGAACGTGTGTGTGTGTGTGTGTGTTGGTTTGTTTGTTTTTTTGTTTGTTTTTTGTTTTTTTGGTTGTTTGTTTGTGTGCGAATGTGTGTATGTCTGTAATTTTTTTTTTTTTTTAAGAAAAAGGACAACACTTAACTTCATTGGACTTTTCTGCTCACATCCTCAAGAGTTGATCAACCAAAGGTGGGAATCTTCTTCAGAGAAGCTTTGATCTATTTTGATAACTGAAAAAGGAACATAACAAGAAGTTTAAAAAAAAAAAAAAACACAGAAAAAAAAAACTTATGAGGGGAGGAAAAGACACAGAGCATTATTTTTGTGCACGTAATATAACAAATTCTTATTTTTAAAAAAGCATTCTGGACGTTTCAGAGTGATTCAAGGAAGAGTTGAAACACAATGTGTCTTTTATTTTTTTGTAAAATATGCAAACTTTTATTTTTATTTCCTGATGTCTGTTGTTTGACATTCTATTTGCAGCAGCGGGGTCAAAAATTTGTACAGATTTAAAAACTTGCAAACACTTTTGCTGGTCTGATGTGTTGAGTCATTGTCAACTGTGGGAGGCAAACCGTTTAAAGCTACTTCTTCCTGTAACTGCTGCAGAGATTTCTATTCACGCACAGATGATAATAACATTGACTGTTTATAGTTTAGTCAAATTCCTTTTTTTTTTAATTTTAAACCATTCTTTCATAAGTGAACAAAAGACAATCAATTATTTCTATTTATATTTGAATTATAGTTCTATTTTTTAGAGTTTTTAGATCATTGAAACATACATTTATAGAAAAGAAGTTATTTAATACTATAGTCTGTAAAGACAAGATGAAATTGACTTTAATGGATCTTTACTCCACACATTAATGATGAGCTCTGATATTTGGCTCATGGAAATTATTGTTAGGTTTTTTTTCCTTTGATGGTTGGATGACTTCTAATTCAGTTCAAGTCCTTTGTGCACCATCGAAAGACAACAACAAAAATGACACCTGTTCATACAAATAGTCGTCCTGCTCTGTTATGATGTAACTCCACGTTGCATCCGTGTCCATGAGAAGTGGTTTTAAGCGGTTTTGTTGTGGCAAACCTTCAGGTATCATTAAAATTCATCCTCGTGCCGTCGAAGGGATGAAGTGAACATGCTTTAGATCTGAGCAGTTAGATTACTGAGACGTAATGTGTACAAAGAACAATGCAGTTACTAAATTAAGACGTAGCTTAGCAGAAAGCAATGAGGGAAATCAAATAGAAGACTCACAAAATCCCTGAGAATAATTTGTCCGACAGGAAAGGGAGCTGTAAGTCTTTTTGTTTTTCAATGCTGCTGTTGTCACCTGAGTTTGATTTTCTGTCAGTGATTTTTAGTTTGTAGAAAGTTAAATGTCTTCTGTTTTTTCTTTTTTTTTTTCTCTTGTCTGTCACTTGAAAACCTTTGTGATAATTTGCCTTATTTTTTGGATGAATTTATCTTTGAAGTAGATTTAGATTTTAGCTGTAGATCTTAGCTTTTCCTAGAGAGTAGATGTTAGCTTTTCTCCACGTAGGGATTGATGCTGTTTTCTTGTGCACATCGAGTTTTGTTTTACACACGAATTTCCGTTCCCATCCTTGTGTCGTCTTGTCCTGATACTGTGTCGGGCCTGTTTGTAGAAAGTCTTTTTTTTTTCAGAGTGGAGAGCTGAACCAAACAATGACTTCATTTTTAGTGCTGATCCAAAAAGATTCATACTGACGCCGCATCAGTGTTGTGGCTCCGAGAGGCTTCATTACACACAAGCCCGGGTATGTTTCGGTTTCAGCATGTCGAGTGAAGCTCATGTCACCACATACAGTACATCCAAATATGTTGAACTTTAATTTATACAGACATCAAAAAACTGTAGATATGTAGATAATAGAAATAATGGTTTTACAAAGGACTGCTCACTAGACCATGGAAGTGCCATTAAAGACGATTCTTACAGCCTTTAGTGAGACAGCAAAGTCTGAATGAATTTGTGAGTGATCCAAAATTCAGCAAAAACTATTTTTAGCTAAGCCTTAATGTTTTTTCTCTGGATGAACTGCCTGATCTCTCATAGGATTGACACTAAGTTGTATATACTACGGAAATGGCAACAGGCTTGTTTGAATGCCACCGAGTTAGTCGTCCTGTCAGTCGAGTTAGCTGTAGGGTTACGAGGAGCCTTTCTTCCTGCTCTTCAACTGTTCGTGTTTGAATCCAGTGAAAAACACAGCGTGATACCGTCTTTTTCTCAAGGCTCGCAGTTTAATGATTCTGTTTCTGACTCTGTATTGTCTTTGTATTGTTTTTTCACACATCATCTTTTTTTTTTCTTTTTGCTGTGTGTTTCTGTTGTTCAATTCTGCAACCAAAGATGTTGTAGCCACCCTTCTTTTAGCTCTCGGTCGCAGGTAAACTACGCTCATCCATAGACGATCATCTGTTGTGTGTGGCTAGATGAAAAAAAAAAAAAAAAACATTTTCACTGGTTCTGATAGAGTCAGAAAGAGAGAGATCACAATAACGGTGTTTACATGCAGGAAATATTCCACATTATGACAGGCGAGAGGTTTTGTGAGAGCATTATCTGGGCACTAAAGTATCAAGTATTTTGGCAGATTTTTCAAAACGAACAACTCAAAAAAATGATCTGGTTTTGTTTACATGCATCAACAGAACTGAGTTTCCGTCAGTTTATGTAATGGAGTGTTGGAGTGCATGTAAACAGACTCATTATGAACTTTATTGGCTTCAGCAGACGCCCAGGAGGAACACAGAGCGCAGCTTTTATGAGGGTGAGAGTTTTCAGACACGAGAGCTAATTTTGTAAATAGTCTTTTTTTTTTTTTTTTCCTTCCACTTGCTCTTTACACCATTCTGTTTGTTTCTTCTTGCGTGTTTCCTTGATTTTTTTATGATTTATAACCTGTCCAGATAACACAGTGACTAGCAAGTTTTCAGATTCAGTGCACCATGAAGGAAAATGTCATGGATATTGTTTATATGTTCAGAGAAATGATATTCCATGTATTAGCCATCACTTTTAATACAAAAACAGGATTTTGGAACTATGAAATGACCACTTGTTACAACACAGTGTTTATTTATTTTTAGTTTATTTTTTACAAACTTGTCAGCAGAAATAATAATAACAAGAAATCATGATGCCCGAAAATGAATTTGCATCATGACAATGACAGAACCTTAAGTTACATTTAAATTGGAGGAATACAAAGATCAGTGGTGTACTCTATAGACAGTACACAATATTTGCCAGAAAAGAAATCTCCTTATACTTATTATTTTTAGTCTACACCAATTTGAAAATCCTCTTTATGTCCATCCTAATGTAGATTTGATGGCTTATTTCATAGCTTCAAAATGTTTTGCTGCTAAAACAGGATTTCCAAACAGGTGGTTAGATGTTGCCCAGTCTGAATTTTCAAAATGTCTCCTAACTTAGTTGATTCTAGTGGCCCTCGTCTGTTTGGTTTTTAATGAAAACTTAATGATAATAATATGTAGTAAATAGTGTACTATTATCTTGCTAATGGGTAGTTTAAATATTTTTATTTTAAATGTCATCTTAAGGAGACATTTCTGAACAGGAAATACTAAAAACTTGTCTTGTTGCTCAACACTGTATGAACCAGGTTTGTGTGAATCACAGATATTTTGAAAATCCGACCGGGCCTGTCTCACTTCCTGTTTGTGAACAGTTTTCTTATTTATACAAGAACTCATTTTGTACAGTTTTGTTAGAGGAAAGAGGTTTTGATATTTGGTTTTTTTGCAAAGCCACTTGGCTACTTTTGTCTTCCTGTGCCAGAGTTGCTAAAATTGTCTGTAACTTGTGTTTTTTTTATTGATTGAGATAAGATTTTCCTTCTTTCTTGGTTTTCTCTTTGAATTTGAATATGTCAGTTTTTCTTCCTTTTTTTTTTTTTAATAAAAGTCTTGTTTCAATGATCGGGTGAACTGTGTATTTCATCATCTGGATAATTGTCACCAGCATCACCTCCTGCTCTTGTTTCTTCAGGTGCTGAAGTTCTCCTCTTAACATATTAAAAAAAAAGGTTTTCCATGCATGTTAAACGAAAAACAAGACAAGCAGCTGTCAGTCTGACTGTGGCCTGTAGAGGGCGACATCCAGCTGAGCTGACATCATATGTCTCAGGGCGTTTGAGTTGTACGTGGTCCGGCTGCTCTGTAGGTAAACCACAACCAGCCATCTGTCCATTATGTTTAGGGTTGCAGGTGGGTGTAATTTCCACTGGTGATGGAGGAGAATAAATAATTGAATCTATATTTTTTATTTACAGTCAATATTGTCTTGAATAGATGCTTGAATTTAACAATATGAAAGATAAAGCAGTCACAGCTTAGTATAGACGCAGATCTGAGACGGTGAAAAGTAAATGTGTCGTGGCATTAGTAATTCTACGAATGAATAATTCCACATATTAGTGTTATCATTTAAATAAATAAAATAAAAAATAGACAAATAACCACTTTAATAATAATAATGTGTTATTTGCTATATTGATATGAAAATACAGGAAATTGTATTCATGTTTTCTTTTTCAGAAACCAAACCTTACTCTTGCTATATAGTGTATCCCTGCATGTCCTGTCCAGGTTTTTGAAATTCACTACACAGGTAAAACACTCCTAATGCTCACATTGTGACCATTAGCATGTTAACACTAAATAATTTTCTGTCACATCCCAAAGGCCACATTAAAGTCAAATAGAAATTACAAATAATCTCTACTGACTAAAAGTACTGTATGCCGCTACACACACACACACACACTTTCCCTTTACGGTTGGACTTTGTGAGCTTCAGTGTTAATGCTGGAAGTGAGTTGAAATCCACTGGTTCAGGTTTCACATGTACAGTATTTACCCGCAAAACATCCAGGCTCAAACTGAGCTGTTAGAAATCAAAATACTGCATCTTACACACACGCATATAGACAGTAAAACATTAAACTTGTCATATATGACGCTGGGCATAGAAAAATACACATGTAGAAAACAAACTGTATCTACTTAGTTTGTGAAAGACTTGGCTATTAAAACAAACTCAACCCTGCTGAGCTTGAAAGTGCAGATTTCCTGAATCTTCATTTTTGGCTCAGTGATGGATAAACAGAAATGCAGCCAAGGAAAGTGATCATGCTCAACTCTGGGACTGTGGCTGCTTTTATCCACTTATGAGCCTAATTTTTTTAAACACACACTTAAGGATGGTGAGGTCACAGCAGACCCTTCAGTAATACAAAACCAGATTAACAGGAATGGCCAGAGTACAGTGAACAACTACAGTGAGATACGAGGCGGATGTAGGCCAAGTCGGGACAAAACCAGCAGTGGGATTGTACAGACAAGATTACATAACCAAAAGCAAAGAACCAACAGATTTGCTGTGTCTTGCTTACATAGTTTTGATGCATGTACAAACTAAAATGGTAATTCATCAGAAACCTTATAGCACTGATAACATCTTGAGAGTAACAAATCCAGCTGACAGATAGATTTATGTAGCAGAGGATTCTTCACTCGCGGCCTCCTCCCATGATCTGCAGCAGGAAGCTGAACAGGTAGATAATGTCCAGGTAGAGGCTGAGGGTGGCAAAAATATATTCCTCTGGACTTATGGTGTAGCGCTTGTTCCCTAACAGCAACTGCGTGTCAAATGCCAGGAACTGTAATAGAAAGCGATGGGGAGGGAGACGGAGAAAGAGTTTAAGGAAATGAGAGAAAAATGATATTCAGGGGGATGATTTTTATTTTTATATATATATATATATATATTGATGATATATATTGATGTATCTGATTCTCACCAGAGTAAATAGGATGGCTCCTAATACAGCATAAATGGCGTGTAACCAGGGAACCTGTTTTGCAAGATAAAAAGCATTACAAAACACTGTTAAGAAGGATAGCAGGGTGCTAATTTAAGAAAGACAGCAAAGTGCTTTCCTAGATTATCTGTGAGGCTAATCCCTTGACGCAGACCCAAATACAGCCTGCAGCACCTGAGGCATTAACCTGCAACTGCTGTTTAACTCATCATTGATTACAGCTATTTTGAACTTCTTCTAGAAAGCCTGAATGGATCCCACTGGAACAGGAGAAGGAGGTGAACTTACATATCCGAAGGGGACGACAATGGAGAGGGTGATGGCACAGAGAAGCATGACCATGCACAAAGAAAACAGGATGCCCTGACAGGATGTGACATCAATCTGCAGTAGGCAAGAGCAAAAGCACATGGTGGATTTGTTTCATTATAACAACATCTGTCTGTTTTGTTGCTTGAAAGCAGTTTCAAGTTATAGTTTCAGCATTGTTAGAGAGAGAGAGAGAGAGATGACCTTGCTCTGGAAGCTGAAGACGGTGACAGAAAGACACACCAGAGCTGTGATTCCCAGACACAGCACCACTGATTTGGTGTTGTAAAAGCTGGAGGAAGAGCAAAGACACATATATCAACATCGTTCCTTTCTCTGTCTTCCGCCTTTGAAAGACACTGATGGTTGAAAACCAGTGTCTCATACAGATGCATGTGTGTAGTAATATGGATTTACCTGGACACAAATCCCATCATGAAGGCCATGCTCAAAGTCTGTGAGTGAAGGAAGAAAGAAAGCCACAGTTAGATTGTGTGCTGTGTAAAGGCCACACTGTGTTCAAGTAAAATGAGCCGTATTTCGTACTGTGTAATACTCACAAAGAGAACTAACAGAATGACGTTCCAGGGAAACTGCCTCCTGTTTGGGTAGGAGAGAAAATCATAACAAGTTTATATCAAAGCAGCGTCCTGTATGTGCTGTCATGAATATTTGTGTGGTTTTGAAGCGTTACCTCAGCTCTCCACAGCAGGACAGTGCAATGTAGGTGGAGAAGAACATGAGACTAAAAGGGGAAAAAGATGATGCAAAGCTTAATAAATAATGTAGATGGAAAGACTGACAATGTGTAATGATGTGATGATGTGTTTGCACTTACTATGATGCCATGTACAAGCTAGGATGAGTCTGAATGAAAAACCTCACAGGAGCGCTGTAGACAGAAAAATGAAATGGGTCCAATCAATAATTCATACTCTGATATGAAGTGTAAGATCAAAAACGTAATTTGTAAACAATGGGACTTATGAGCAGAAGAGGTAGTTACCAAAATGTGAAGAGACCAACAATTGCCACGGTCACCAACAGCTGAACCATGAGAATGGCGTAGACCTGCAGGGTGAGATACACCACGTCAGAGCAATGGAAGTGTCACTGTGACATGTATTCTCCGGTGTCGGTGTCATTTGTTTTAATAATAAAAAAATTCCAATACCTTCCTGATGAAGGTCTGCCTGATGGCCTTGTCATCCCAGGCGAACTGAACCTGCATCTCCTCATAGCCTGAAGGAAGGAGCCAGGGAGGGAGGCAGACATGTTCATTTTTGATGTTTGTAGAAATCAGTCATAAATATATGTTTATTTGTTTTGCTTTTTGATAATGATGCTGCAGAATTACTCAGAAAATTTAAAGCCACCATGTGGGAGGAAAGTTTGACTGGCACTAACATGTCACAGTGCATAAACTTCAATAAAGTGCAAAATTATAAAGAGAAATATGTGATTATAATTATTGCTTATTATGTTTCACCTTGTATTTTGACAAGTAAGTCTGGTAAAACCAGAAGACAGTGTGCATCTATAACTATAATCTATCATCTATAATAAAATATCAAATAACAAGGACATACCTGCTGTTGCCTCCTGATAACTGGGGGGCTCATTGCCATCATTAACCTGCTGGGATACAATCAGGGTTTGCAGGGTCCTCACAGTTTTAATATGTTGTATACAAACATAGCTGTCTTTACATGCTCTATACAGAGCAATGAACCTGTTTACTCTCACAAACATGAAGCAGCACAGTAATAATTTTCCTTTTAACCAATGATTTGGCTGCGGAGAGTCTATGACACATTACATTCTAATGTTAAAGCTTTCTGCAGACAATTTCCCAAAACAGATTTGTCAACAGAACAGCCTTCATGTGTGATTGGTTCAAAGGATTAGGATGAATGTGATGGGCCTCCATCTTTGGAAAGCCAGCAAAGACTACACTACAGCTGAACTACAGAGAAGCCAATGGTTATTCAAACAGCACTTTCACTCACACCAAAAAAAACAACAGACAACTTTTTCATATTATGTCATTACATGATTTATGATTGATTGATTTTGAACTTGTCTGTGATGCTTCCAGTCAGAAACAATCTACAAGTCGACAATCAAAATCATGACTTTGACCTATTTAGATTATTATCATCTATCACAATACAAATGACAAACTCAAGAAATGACATTAAAATGTCATGGATCTAAAGTGAAAACATATCACTGCACTGTATATCATGTAGCTGCAGCGTAATTGGAGTTAGGAGAGTAAAAAACATACCTTTCCCTTTTTCATGATTATTCCCTTTTGTCTCCTTTATGTTTCTGATGATGAGACTATTTTGAAGTCAATGGAAGGATGTTTTAAATCCCAAATCTGAACTTTCTCCACTCTTCTTCTCTCATTTAATGGTCCAAAAACACTGCGAGTTGTGAGCAGAATGTTGTCTGTAGCGTAGTTGTCGCTCTGAATTTGTCTCTAGTGTGCGGATTACACTGAAGCTTTATAGGCCTCCATGTGGTTAATCTCTCTCTAACCCTGATCCCACGCCACCCCTATCCTCGGCCTAATGAGGTCGTTCTGGCAAAATCCAGGTAGTTCCAAAACACTGACATGAAGCCAGACTGTACCACTGCTGCTGCTAAACAGGGGTGTTGTTAATGTGTCTCTTTTCTGGCACAAACCTTCTCCACAGTGTTCCAGGACAGATAATCATCCGAGTGCTCACCAGAGGACTTACATATCTGAATTACATATGCATTACATAACTATTTTTGCTCCACTTTGGAGGAAAGTGGGAGGCATAGATATAATGGAATATCAATAACCAGCATATGTTCATTCATCCTGCATGAGAATATATTAAAAACAAACCCAACAACCCCTGAACTTGTGAATTTGTTCCTATATACAATGTCTTACAACAAAAACATGAACAAACACAGTGAACGATGTACAACTAACTTTTTGTTTATACTTCAGGTGGACTTTGTCATCTGTCTCAAATACAGCCACACATGCATGGGCATTAATGGAAAACCACTAGACACTACTACAGAGCGTTAGGTGAATCTAGTTGTTTATACGCTACAGTTTTAGCAACAAAACAGGTCGACATGACATCATCTCTTTGTGTAAGAGACTGGTTTAGTAAGAGGCACTCCAGACTAATGAGATGGAAGTTAAGAACATTATGGAGCACAAACATAACCTTTACAAACAGTAGTAATGAGATTTACCAGACAACACCCACCTTTGATCTCCTTGTGTTGATCTTCGTTTTACTGGTCTCTGCTTTGAGAATGCATTTAGAAACAACAGGGTTTAAAAGAAATGTTTTATAATGGATCTTAATGGTCTCAATACAGATCACAAAGTAAAGAAATAAGAAAAGCAATCATCATATTTCATGGTTTGCCCACACTATAACTATAGTGCTGTAGTTCTGTGGTGATGACATTGCTATATTAGAATATTTACCTAGAAATAAGATCTATATTCTGGCAAAAAATAGTTTGAATTCACATGACCAGTGTCTCATTCATCCATCCATTCATTCAAACAATCTCTTATTCACTGTGAGAATGGGGCAACTCAAAGATTTAATACGAGCATTGCATCATTTTCTTGCTACAAAATATTATTCTGTTTTAAGACGTACAGACTGAATTCCTCAGGGAGCGGCAGATTCAGGTGATAATTCTCGATAGGTTCATCACTATGTGCAACCCTTTCTGAGTTGTCACATTTTCACAGCGTCACTGACACAATGTAATCATGAAAACGTCAACTATAGCCACTTTACAGCCGAGATTCTGTTTGATAAATGTTTGATAAACTTCATCCAATCCTCAGTCCATAAAACATGTTAGATATGAAATCATGTGAAACTCTATTCTCCTTTCCTCCACATGGCCACTGGATGGCACCAGAAGACAAGAAAATATTTATATTTTATGTGGCCAGAAAAAGACCTGTGTCAGGCACACCGGAAGTGATATACTTTACAGTCATTGCTTCTTTGCCCAGGGATGCGATGGATGAACGAGTTGAAGCCTCATACTTTTAACAAAATGCAATCTTTACCCTTTTAATCCTGGAGTGAGAAGATGTTTTATGACTAAATATAATCCACACTCAGTGCTCAGTCCCAACCCTCTCATCCTAACAGTTTTTTTTTTATAGATAAACAAAATGAATGTGAACTGATGGTGTTTGAAAGTTAAACTTAATGATGTGGTAAACAACAGAGACATTTGGAACTAAACTTCAAACCTCATCATTACTAAGATAATACTAAAACGGCTAAATTGTTTATAGTTGTGGCTGTTTAGCGTTAACAATGACGTATCACCAACACGCCTCTACTTTACTGAGTGGCACACACTTGTTGTGGCTTGTTGTGTTATTTCATGACTCATGTAAATCAGGGGGAAAAAGTTTTTTTATTTCAACCCAAACAGGGTGCACAGACATGAAAGCAGGGTTGTTTGTACATGTTACAGTGAATGGGAATATCAGGTCATTTTTACCTGAGTCCCAGAATTCAAAGTTAGAAATTATACTGGTTCTAGAGAAAACAACATCTCCCCAAGGTCCATTTCATAATTGTTCTGGAGGTTTGGGAGATATGACATGATCCTCATCAGCAGATGGAGTTTACCAATTTAGTAGTTGCATAAATTAAGAATTCCATTTTATTAGCAATCTTATGTTACAACCTCCTGTCCATATTGGCTTGAAAGCTGGAGGTTAAAAGTAAGGATAAAAAGTGAAACACAAAATTTGAGTTAAATGCTATCATCTCAATCGAGCCTGGCATTGCCGTACCAATGCAGGTCACTGCCTTGACTGGTTTACAGGCTGAGTCCCAGTGGCATAAAATAATATAATTGCTAAAATGTGTTGCTGCTGTTAACATTCTGCCCAGTAGATGGCACATGAAGCCCTCAACATGACCCATAGAAATGACTGGAAATGGTTGTGTCAGAGCGCCACAAAGGACTAAGCTCTTACTGTAGAAGACTTTCAGTTTTTTTTTCTAATGCAGCACTGAGAATAAAAGTTTGACTGTGTTCATATAAATGGAGGGCAGAGTGCAGCTTTTGGCTGATGCTCATATTTCATTTTGTGTTTCAAAGGGAGATACATAACAGGGGCAGTGTTACTGCCAGAGTATCACCTGATGTGGAGGCGAATTATTGTTTTTTAAATCAAATTATCAAAACAAATGTACAGGTGGATATGTGTCCAGTGATATTCATATGAGGAGTCACAGGTTATCTTGAATGTTTGATCTAAAAATATACAAGGGAGAGAAGTCGATCATAATAACCTTTAGGAGATGACAAATATCTATTCAACTGTATACAGAAAGTATGTATTTTTTTCTGATATTAACAGTATTTACACTAAAATCTCAGATATTCAAGGGGTATTTCTGTCTACTTTAGTCCAGCTTGAAACAAGGCTTCTGAAGGCCAGAGTTACTGTTTATGGAAAATGTTCCCAAACATTTATACTAATATGATTTTTCCAGGCTGTCTACTAGACTGTAGTGATAGCAGTGGTAAGGTCTCCTTGTCCTGTCTAGAACCCTGACTATTCACCTCCAGAGAATCTGCATGTGCAAGTCCCAAACGAACCGTCTCGACTGTCTTTTCAGTGTCACATTTGCATATACCACGGAACAGAATCCTTTTCGGTTCATAACCTTCCCTCCCAGCTGCTGCCTGTCGTCTCTGTCAGCGTGTGTTCGTGGCAAAGAACATCACCATGTAGGCTATATATTGGAGTGTCTTACTCTTTGAAATTACATTTACTTGTTATCACACACTCCAAAATCAAGTGATGTGTCTTGTAAGTAATAAAGCCCCTAATGGCTCTCAGATGGAGAGCATGATTGGCTGATTGCTTCTGTTGCTAGGCTACAGCTCCATCGTATGCCTCGGCAATGCTGATAGTAGGCTTGCATTAAGGAAGAGGATGAAAAAAGATGAGCACAAGGAACATGCTATAGAACGTTTTTTAATAATGGTACTCTATGGTGTAACCATAAAACATTTACAAAATATTCACAGGGTGATGCAGTCAGTTGACAACACATTTATTTTCAATTATATATATCTTCAAATAAAAAGTTTATACTCAGAGCGCATGGTTCAAATGCTGCTTTCTCTTTCCTCTGCAGTCTGTAGAGCAATCTATTACATGTGACGTCATACAATAATTTCAATACTAACTTCATTTACATATCTGAGAATCTGCAAACTAACAAGGGTATGAACCAAGAATAAAGGTTATATACAAAATGTACAACAGAACACCTTGACATATTACCCATCAGACACGGTCTAAAATGACCAATAATTTCTCCCTGATTGCAGCATACAAATAAAATGCAACTTACTCTCATTTCTTAAAAATGTTATACATTTCTCAATCACAGATGGGTGATTTTCATAAAGATTTCCCACACGGTGACATGTTGTGAAAATAGCTTAGGTCATTCCAACAGGGCAAACACAAACCGTCCTCCTAACTATGTGTTAGACATTGCTATTGCTATGTTATATTTATTGATGTAAGAGGTTTCTCAATGTATGGAAAGTGCATTTTACACTTGTGGCATGAATGTACAGTAAGAAATCATTGTTGGTGAGTTTTCTATACATGTTCCTTTTTTTTCTGGGCAAGATGTGCTTCCTTCTTGCTAGCTTTGTAAGCTGGGATGGGAGGACAAAGTCTAGTGAGGAACAAAAGGCCCTCTCTTTCTTTTTGGTCTTCAGAACAGAAACTGTCTCAGGCAAACTCCAGGAGGGGAAGAAGGTGATGATTTGGTGGATTGATGTTGACTCGAAGAACCCAGGAAGAACACAGGCTATGTTTTATTTATTTCTATATAGCAATCCTGGAAGCAACTGGAGGAGAGATCAGTTTGAGTTCAGGAGCTTCCACCTCCTGCTGTGCCTCCGTCCTTCACTGATATTTTTCCGAGTCCTCTCTCTCTCTCTCTCTCTCTCTCTCTCTCTCACACAGCACCAGACTTGGCACAGCTCCCACACAACAACTGTCCATCATGCAGAGGCCAGTGTATTGTATGCGGCAGGCCAGGCTTGCATGGGGAGCCGGGAGGTTCCCCACAGCAGATACCTCAGTAAGCTGCAGGCTATGTGAACTCAAGGATCGATACGGAAAGCTAAAAGCTTGTCAGAGTGCTGGTTGTTAAGGGTGCGCAGGTCCGGCAGACGAAGCAGCAACTTTGGGAAAAGGGTGCTGTCATCCGGGCGACGACTGGTGATGAGAGAGCGCAGGGCTTTTATTAGATTGTCCTGCAGCAGCTCCACTGCTCCCACCTCCACTATACCAGAGCGGTCTGAAGAAAGGGAGGAGAAAGTGGGGTTAGACATGAGGAAATGTGACTGCGTATAATATGTACTTGTGTGGATATAAGTGGATAAGTCTTACCAGCTGACACGAGCACGACAGCCATAAAAAGAGCC